CTTCCTTCATCACTCCCTCCATTCATTCATTTATTCTGTGAATCAGTGACTTCTGCAGGGAGTGTCTGCTATATCCCAGGCCCTGTGCGTGGCCCTGTGGGTACCACTGTGGGTGACTGTGACCCCTGCCTTCCAGGGGTTCCCACCCTCACCCTTGACCTCACTCTGTCCCTATTTTTTTTCCTTTGGTCTTGGCTTTTCTTTCCCTTTCTCTCCACCATTGTCTGAGTTCAGCAGACTACTGCTCTCGTCTTCAAATCCTTCAAACCTGATCTCAACGTCTTCATAGGTTCGTCACAGGAACAGGCACCCACTTACTGTTGCTTGACAATTCCCCCTTCTCCGCTTGGTTCATGGGTGCTCAGTGAGTTTCCTTCCCTAATTCATCCGGCCCACACCACACAGGTAGACAGCCTTAGCCGGCAGCCACCTGCACGAATACCTAATCAGCCAGCCAACCCGGGTGCATGAGGGCCTACCCTACGCCTGGCACTGCGGGCACCTAGGCTTGCACCACCATGCCTCCCTCAAGGAGATGCCAGCCTGGCTGGGGAATGTGTGTGAGCACCAGGGAGATCAATAATAATGGAAGATGGTGGCTCATCAATGCTGACGTCAGGAAACCCTCCCGCATTGGTGGCCCTAGGACTGGGACTGCCGCCCCCGAGGGGGAGCTCTGCAGGCCGGAGGGAAACAGGTGCTGCCACAGAGGGGGGCACCCGAGCAGGGCTTTGAAAAGCAAGGGCTAGAGTTGGGCAACCTGGAGGAGACAGTGGTTGGTGTATTCTGGGCAAACCCCTCGGCTTCCTCCCCCGGGGGCCGCCCGAGTTCTTGTTTTCTCTAGAGCAGCGTTTGGCTCTGGCTGGGCCAGGCAGCCACAGAGCCGGAGGCGCTGCGTCTCCCCCCCCCTCCCCGGACAGCCCCTCGCCAGGTCCCGTCTCCTCCCGCCCGGAGCTCAGCGTGATACAAAGCAGCCTTTCTTCTGTGTGAGGTTGCTTAGAAGCAGTCCCCCGTAATTACAGTAATCTTATCTCCTTTAAATCCACCCAAATTACCCCTTTCCTTTGTACCCGCTCCACGGCTACACGACAGGCCTGGTGAGCTTTGTGCAACGCGCAGTGTTGAGCTTCACGGTGACAGCTGCTCGGAGACACCAATGTTCTGTGTGACGGACTCGTTTGGTGGGGACTTGTCCACACGCCCTGAGGACGGGTGGGGGGAGGCTGTGCGAAGAGGGACGCATTTGGACGGATCTTTTCCGGGGTTTAGATGGAGAAGATGACTGTTTCGTTTCCAGCAGAGAACCTCGGTGCTTGCGGAAGTCATGCTGTTTTTGCCCGAAATGCACCGAGTTTCAGGGTGGGTGAGGGGGTCCCGTTTCTCCGGCGCATGCTGGTTGCCTCGTGATCCTCAGCCGCTTTCCTGTCCCCCACAACCTGGCGCTCCCTGGGGTCATCCCTCCCCCAACTGTGGCCTCCTCGCGCACCCTGCGCAGCTCCGAGGTTCCACCTGTGCGCCTTCCCGCCCACCCCTGCGATCCCCTGGGCCCTGCGCCTTCCCCTCCCTCACCGACGGCGGGTGGCAGGAGGAGGCGGAGGGGCACATGGTCCTCTCCGCGGTCGTTTGCTCGCTGCGCCCCTCACTCACGGGGGACTTCCTCCGTGCCAGGCCTTGGGGACACGAGGAAGCGTCCGTCAGGCAGCTCACAGTCCGGAAGGGCCATGGTCGGGGGGCCCAGGACACCCTAATACTGACGCCCAAAGCAGAGCATCCTGGGGGGCTAGACATGACTTTTCTGAGGCGACACTGAGTAGGGCAGAAAACTTGCATCTTTCTTAGAGACTTCCAAAGTCCCTCAGCAGCCGCTCCAGTGCCTGGACCGCTCTGCCCGGCCTAATAGGACCCCGCCTGCCACATCCATCCCACCCCGACCCACCGCCATGGGCCTCTGACCCCGCCGGCCAGCCCGTCCCCTTGCTTCCCCTGCATGGCCCCCATTCCCGCTGCGTCCTTGCTCGTGCCTTCTGTTAAATGGGCGTCTTCTACCACCTCCCCAGGGATACCTGCAACAACTCTCGGGCCCACGTCACCCTCAGGGGCCAGGTCACCCTAAGGCCTTGTGAACTTTTCTGCAGCCACACCAAACACTGTAGCTTCTCTGAACTCCCTTAGCACTTAGGCTGTAGGTACCGCTTGGATAATATGTGTAGAAAATGATACTTAAAATCTTGGAAAGCACAGGGCAAACGTAATTGCCATTACCTTTAACTGGGCAGCAGGGCTTTGATGCCTTCTCCAACCAGCTGTATTTCTTCAGGCAAGTCCTTTAGCTGTCAAATAGGAAAAACAACATTTCAAGGGCATTATAAAAATTAATCAAATATAAGGACATGGATATAAATAAAATTTCTGACTTGTGGTAGGCAGGTCTTGATGGAATGAAGATAGTAGTGGGGTGTTGTTTTTTCTTAGAGAGGATTCATGTTTTTCATTCTACTTAATTCATGTTTCTTCATTGTCCAGCAGACCAGGATAGGCGTGTGTTTTGGGGTGAGAGGAGCAGAAAAGTTACCTAATGAAGGGTGATCGTGAAGGACAAAAACTGAACATCCTTCAGAGCCCTGCAACTTTCATCTCAAAACTCAGAGAATAATCGTAATATTGTAAAGGGCTGATGACATCCCGTTTCCCGCGTCACCACTGCTTGGCAAGAAGACAATCGCCTGGACCTGACATTGCCCTAGAGACTAAGGCTTCATTGTTTTCTCGTAGACAATGATTATCAGAAACGAAGGCCCTGACGGCGGAGGGACGGGGGACGAAGGAGGCAGCTGTCCTTTCTGGCCTTCAGAGAGGGTCCGTGTGGAGCTGGGTGCTGAGCCGGTGGACGGGAGCACCCCCGGAGGGCCCGCTCTTCCGGCAGGGCTTCCCGACTTCAACACCACTGACCTTTTGGGGCAAATAATTCCCAGTTGGGGTGCTGTCCTGTGAGCTATAGGAGGTTTAGCTGCATCCTGGGCCTCGGCCCACTAGACGCCCGGGAACCCCGGGTGGCCGGAGGGAGGGGTTGTGGGTA